TAGTGCCCCCATCTACTGGTAAGAGCCATTGCAGGTGTCTTGCTGCCTTTCCAGTTTTAAAAGTTAATGTCAATTCAATCTATGCAATTTAGAGAAACCTGCAGAGATTGAACCAATTCAGCATGGGGCTTTTTGACTCTCAATACTTAGCCCTAATGATGGAGATGTTTCACTCTTGAAAAGAAGCTGTTTCCCTTGCATGGCTGAAAGAACTCTGCAGCATCCTGCCATCCTTACAGGCACCTTAGAAGTTAAATACTCCCCTCCTCCCATCCTAGTCGCATCTAGGCCCTTGAATAAAGCTGCATGACAGAGCATGCCTGAACAATATAACTGCCAATAACATGTCAACAGCTCATCTCTGTAATGGCATACCGTGCTGTCGTGCCTCTTCCATAACTATGGCACCCTGAGGCTGGAGCAGCAGCAGCAAACATTTTTTTAAGATATAACCAAAGTGGTCTAAATAGTAGGAACTTCTTGAAATGGGGGTGGGTCTGATACTCCATACAGAACATGGGAAGGTATGAATTTGGTTTTGTACTGCATCTGAAAGACTGAGGCTTGGGCAGGAAAGGAGGAAGAGACAGCAGAGAGATCTATGTAGCTGAAACAAACATTTAAAATCCTGTTAAATAGCCACATATGCAATGGGAGTTAATGTACTGAAAGTTTCTGCCCTCTACTGGCATTTTTGAAGATTGCTCACAATTTATCTATACATTTTGGAATTACTTCACAGAGGAATTATTATAGACTTAACATTCAAAGGCTTGCCATGCTGGCCAACTATTTATATAAGCAAATCTTTAGAATGAGGTATCTAAGGGGCTATGGGAATGCCAGTATCTGACAGTTTAAGATATCTACGTACTTCTCACCTGGCTCAATGCCACAAGATTAGTATAAAATGTCTCTCCCTTTGCAATTACTACTTGCTGCCTTCTGGCTGAACAACAAAGGAGGAGAGAGAGGTGTGGGAACAAAAAAATGAAATAATACTCTTTTGGTCTATGTTCTTATTCTGCTCCCAATTCTTCAGCCCACTAAAACAAAATGAATTATTTCCACAAAAGAAATAATTTGGGGTTGATTAAGACCTGCAATTCATAAATGGTTCAGAAGTAGATACAATCATATTTGATAACCTCTTACAGATATTAAATTCCTTGAAAAATCATACGTTTACTGTGACTGAGTGCATCCATTTTCTTTAGATATGGAATATCATACATTTTTAAACTTTCATTGTCTGTGAATAATGGATATTTTCCATTGGTTAATTCATGACAAACGGATAATTTTCCAATTAAATATATACGTTTTAAGAACTAATTTAGATTACATAAGTAGTCAAAGAAAACAAGGTCTGGTGTTAAAATATAAGAATTCCTAAAGTTCTTTATTATGTTATTTTTTAGATTACTTCACAGTGAAATCTGAAAACATCAAGCCCAGCCCTACAATACTTAGTTATGCATGCCAGTAGCCCTTTTGAAGTCCCATGTGGTGTAGTTTTAACCAATGATTCTGCCAATCAATAGGACTGCTCACGGAGTGCAAAGTTAAATAAATGAGTATGTTTTTGCAGGATGGAGGCCTTAGCATAACAGGTCAATATCCTAGCCATTCATTGCTGGAAATGTCTAAATAGCTTACTTTTGAATACTGAGAGATCTTTGATTTTTTAAAACTACTACATTAATTTACTATTAATATCAACCCTGTTTGCCTCAACTTTTATAATTTAGCTGTGCTTTAGTAAACATAATGCCATTTCTCCAAAAGTTTAATTCATATATAAGTATATACTGTATTAAAGAATTGTCTGTCTGTTTCCACCACCATGAAGACACTGCCATTATTCCTACCTAGTCATAGTTTACATTGCATCTGTACAGTGGTGTCTGACATATGCATACAACCGGCAGTCACATTTCCTGGGCTAACTGCACAGCTTCCGCCTGCTGGTCTCTTCAAAAACCTACTTATTTAGTAGGTAACCATCAATCCTTCTGTATCATGGACCATGGTATATACGTGAGAGGTCACCAGGACCTTCGATGCATGCATCCTAGGCAGGAGTAGGGAGGAGTGGAGGCTGCTCAGACTTTCTAACTCACCTTTAAAGACAAGGTCCAAAGGCCAGACCAAGTCCAGAGGTTCGGTGCCTCAATGGCTGTAGTTATATGTGCGTCTAGGAATCAAACCTGGATCTCCTACATAGCAGACAAAGATTCTACCACTGAACCACAACAGCAGGTCTACCTACTTGAGTCTTGACATAATGCATAAACATGGAATCACACAATTCCCCTACTCTTGGAAGGCTGTCATTCCTATCTCAGCACGTCTAGTATTTACAGTTTTCTTTCCTTCAGCTTTGATGAGGGCAGCCAGTGACCAAACAGCCCCTTAAGAGTACCAGTCATTTAGGACAAAGGAAAAACAGGTTTTTAGCCCCTACATTTATTTGCCTTCCTTCACTAAAGCTTATGGGGGGGAGATTCAACTCCTTTACATTCTTCAGCAGAGCCTCTCCTATAACAGCACCTCCTCATGAGCTGCTGACAATCAATCTCTGCTGTTTCTCTTAAAGAGTTTTACCTGTTTGCATCTTTCAACCTGTAGTTCCTTGCTGTGCAAAAGCCATGTCATTGTGGACTGGAGCCTAGAAGCAAACTAGTTTCCTGCAGTTCTTCCTAACCACTATCTACTTAGAGACTACTTAACTGGCAAGCCCTTGGGTTATACTCTTCAACCTATTTTTTCCTGCAGCCACTTACTAAGCTAGATCAATACATTCACAATGTAATGTGAAAGTCTTAAAACCCAAAATCCAATAACTTTCCTTCACAGGGCAGGCCACATATAGCAGTCATACAACTGTTACATCTCAGTATTCCTAGGTTATTACCTGGCATTTCCACATCCATCACATAGCCTACATGAATCAAGTAGGCAGCTGGTAATTTGGCAGCTGAGAGGAAAATAAAAGGTGCTAACAGAGCCCAGGGCACCAATATTGTGAATCCTGTTTTATGGCCCTGTTCTTGCTGCCTTTTTTGCATTAGTAGACAATTACACCCATGTAGAATCCTAACAAGCCAAGAGGATAGGATCTTAGTATACAGGTAGATATACTATGCATTTTCTTTTTTTTCCCCCCTATTCGAGATATCTCTTCTGTTCTATTATGCAGAGATTTGTATCACAAAAGAGGGATGTGTGATACACTGCATTATCAAATTGGCTGCACATCTTAAGATTTTTTTTTTTTTTTAAAGAGTCTCTTCCATGTCACTAGTCCCTGGAAAAATGTGTCAAAGAAGTCAGTTCGTATAATGCTACTTCTCTAGCCAGCAGCCCACAGATGGCCCCAGCTGCCATGGATCCACAGCATTACAGACTCTTTGGGAACAAGCTCCATCTTAGCAGGAGGCCCTGGGCCTCCACAGCCCTAGGGTTCTGTGACTGCATGCCTGATTCAGGATCTGTGTTTCACCACTGTTCCTTATGCAGATCCAGAAGAGCCTAAACTGCTGTCTTAGAAGCCATATACCCACCACATTTTTGCAGTGATGCACTGAAGTCTTTTTTGGAACAGGACATCATTAGTCAACTGGAAGACAATGAACATTAGTAAAGCAAGACCTGCACAAATGCATCCTTGCAACAAAAACTCTTTCGCTCTTTTCAAATGTCCTGTGTTCTATCTTTCTGCAATGGGATAAGAATCTTAGTACACTAATACATCATTTTTTTTCTCTCAAAGTTATGTCTTTCTGGTACATGCTCTTTTCCCTCTGATTAACAGTTGTTAAAAGTTAATGATCTGGGTGATGTTCTTCAATTCGAGCTCACAGGCACCTGCATGCATAAGCTGACAATTCTTGATAGACCAACTGCCATATATGCGACTATTCTTCTGTCTTAAGACAGAAGAATTTACCCACTCAGTGAGAAGGGCTTACTATACAAAGTGAATGGGGATGCTGAGTCATGTACACATTTCCATAAAGATAAGACAGACATTTCCCATGTCTACACTAAGCATGCTTTGCAGAAGACTTGACTTCAGTAGTTTCTCAATAGACCCCATACCAATCCAGACAAGACTAGCTCCCAATGTTATATATGCCTGTGTTCTGCAGAAGTGAATGCTGAACTCTCCAATTCAAATCTCATCTCCAGATGAGTATAATTGGATAGCAGACAAATTCTTTTCTAAAGTATTCTCCTATGTAAGAGGGCAGGGGAAAGCAATCTCTTTCCCATATACAGTAGAAAAATAATTACATTTTGCAGAACTCAATTAAGTGAAAGAAAGTACAAAACCTGGAAAAGTGTTCCTACATGCAGTGGGCATCAGCTTCCCACTTGAAAGTGCTGTACAAACCTGACTATAAATGTTACATAAAAAGTTTCAATTTTAATGAAACAGATCAACTAATTCATTAAGACAATATATATATTTATTTAGCTCAAAATATTTTGTGTTTTAATAGTAGATTCTGAGTTTCTTTTCCTTTTTTTTTTTGTTCCCAGATATTTTGCTTGCTTAGGTAGTAAAGAACCATCATTAGTTATACAAAACACATTATACCACACTCCAAGGCAAGATGACTGTCTGCTTTCACATCACAATAACTGCTGGACTAGCAGAAGTTTAGATGTTTTAAGGCAAATTAAGGGCTCTATCTTGCAATCCCTTCTCATGCAAGTAGCCCTTATGCAGCCTTAAATCAGTAAAGAATACTTGCATAAGAAAGGGTAACATGATTGGGCCTTTATATACAGTGGTGATGGTGTCTATTGTTACAACCCACAAAAAAAGAGCACTGAACTGATATTCCCAGATAAGCAAAAAGAACAAATATTCCAGAAACATTCAAAAAAGAGTTACTAGAAAGATACAGAGACAGACAGAAACTTCCACTTACATATGTGGATACAGCACAGAATTGACCTCAGTCAGTCCATTAAGGATGGACTTCTAAAGAGTTACTAGAAAGATACAGAGACAGACAGAAACTTCCACTTACATATGTGGATACAGCACAGAATTAAGCACAATTTTGGATATAACCACCACTACAATTTAAAACATGTACATCAGGGCTGTCCACCTGGTGGCCCACAAGCCACATATGGTCCCTGGCTCCCATATGGCAGCTGCTGCTGCTGCCACCATTCTGGCAGCTTTAGGTGGCCAGTGGTCAGGCTCCCCCTCCCTTCTGAAGATTCTGCTTTCTGCGTCTGCTCTTGCAGGCAGGGCCTGGTGGGGCTGGACAATGAGAGGGTTTTAGCACATGCAGTAGGGGGACATTTGGGCTGCCACACCACAAAAGGAGCCCCCTGCACCACCAAGAGCGAGTCTTCACTGTTCATGCTGTGCATGTGGTGAGGAAAGGCCGGGCTGCACACAGCACATGGTCCCCCCCCAGTCTAGAAGTTGGACAGCCTTGATATAGGTAATTAAAATTCAGGATTAGCATATTTGCAGCCTTTAATTCAATACTGTTTGATATATAAATGCCACCGGCTCACATCTAACAAGAAGTGTTACTCAATATCTTGTTCCACAGATGTAATCACTGCATACAATACACGACCCAAACTTGACTAAGACGTTAGTTTGCAATAGTTTTGTTGCTACATTTTCAGAAACAATTCCACTGATCAACCTCAAAGATGTGCTGCTACTAGTTCAGTCTTCCCTCCTGTGGTTATCACTTGGATTAAACTGCCTGAGTTGGGTCTGTTCTTTCCTGTGATCCAGTCATAAAAGGTCCTGTTAAAAAAAATACAAAACTATAAAGGGCATCTAGGCAGGAACTGTAAAATAAAAGCCAGTTGGCCATAATCTCTTCCCAATTCCTGTTCCACATGCAGTCTATTCAGACAGAGTGCACCACTTGAAAAATAAGGACTTTTGGACCTGAGCAGAAGCTATGTGCTTACTTGGAACAGTTGTCCCTGTGCGGGCCGGGAGCGATCCGGGCCCTTTTTTGCGCTGCGCGGGCTGTGGCCAGCAGCCCAGGCACGCTGGGTCAGAGAAAGCAGGCGACACGCTAGAATTAGGCACGGACGCATAATGGTTGATTCAAGATTGTTTACTTACACCGAAGATGGTCGCGGTGTAGGCTGGACAGTTTCCCAGGCAAAACTCCACTTAAATCCTCGTTTGAGGACTCCGACAGTACTCGGATCACTCCCACGGAGTTGTCGAGGCTCCGTGGATCCTTTTTGTGCGCAGGGAAGAGGGATACGTCAAGGATTGCGCTCGGTGACGGGGAGAGGCTGATCAGACCCCTGTTGCCTTCTTTGAATACGCTGGGTCCAATAGGCTCCGCAGCGCTTAGAGATCTTCACAAGACGTGAAGTCTCCTCCTCCTGGTGTTCGTGGAGTCCTCCAACTTGGGCGGAAACCACTCAAGCCTTTTATACGGCTAGCAAGCCGATCACTAGCCACCACGCGTGAATAATTTAACGCAAGCCAATAATGGGGCTCGAATTAGAATACAAATGGCGGGAACTCCTTGCAATGTGCATTTCTTAGCTGCAAAGAAGAAATGCACACTGCAAAGAAAGCTACAAATTGGCGGGAAAATAATTCAGTGGTGCCAAAGCGCACACAAAACAAAAATCACACCCTTGGGTTGTGACAGTCCCCTAGAAGGTTTCTATTTTGACTTGCAATGTCTTTGTCTTTCAGACTATTTCAATAGGGTTTACAGTCAAGAATAGTTTTAAGTGTAGAACACCTAAACAGCCATAGCAGGTGCACTATTTAAACAGCCATAGCAGGTGCACTGTCAACTTGTAATTAGTTTACACAAAAAGAAAAAAGAGAGTAGGTGTTTTCAAGGGATGCTTTTATGGCACAAGGAAAGGTTGAACAGAGACACCTGAAGGGCAAGGCAGTTAGCTCTGAAAGATAACAACATTCATCCATGGTAGCTCTAGAGATAGAATCAATAGAGCCACATTAGCCCAGACACAGCACTACACTAGACACCTCCACTGAGAAGCAGGATACCCTGGCCCAGGTGCAGTGCCAAATTAATGTGGCTCTACTGCTTCTGGTTCCAGGGCTAGAGTGGGCAGACCTAGCTCAGGTGTCTCTGCAGAGTGTTGCATGTGCCTTGTAGACTTCAGCACATGAGCTTGCATGTCTATGTGCCATTAGACACACTGGGAGAGCGTCATTTTTAATGACCAAGTTAAAACCCCTCATTTTATTTACTTTGAGCAGGAAAAGTTATTAGCTAGATTGACAGTGGTCTTTTAAGTAAGGTACCTCAAGCAGCTGCCTAAAACATTCTTAAACCCAATTTCCAATTAATGAAGTCAAAAAGGCAAAAAAATGGAAAGTCAAAACAAAAGCTCTAAGACCAATGTTGCCAGGTAAACATGGAGGTTCAGCTCAGGTCTAAATGACCTTGATTTACCTAGTTTAAAGTTACAAGGTAAACTGCAGACTAAACTGTTTTATGCCCCTTCTGATACATGAAAGGGAACTCATTTCCTTCCCACACTCCCAAAAGAAGTCATGCTTTAAAGGAAATGGAAAATCCCTTTCATGTCCCCTTTGCCACATCGTTCACAGCAAGTGATTTATTTTACACATGAGATAATCAGAAAATAGCAGGGTTTATCTGCTAGGAAGAAAAAGGAAAGGAGATGTACATAAAGAGGGGCAGAAAACTTACCTACCAGGAGCAATAAAAGGCATAAACACTTTTGTTACAGTTCAATTTTAAACCAGTGTACTTATGTCTGACACAGCTGTCCATGACTTAATTTAATTGTGTGCATGTTTTACAAGGCTGGCTAACTAAAATGCCCAGAGTCAGATCCTTAGTTGAACCTTGTGCATATACACTGAAGTTTGCAGTTATGCTAATTTTCACTTGCTAAGCAGATAGCCCTAATGCCCACCCTAACACTGAGGCATGGAGAATGAAGTGTGTAAACCCATCCAAATCCATGTAGTAAGACAAACATTTTAGGAGTGAAGATTTAGAAGGAAACAACTGGGATAAAAGTGATAGCTAGAAATTGCTTAGTCATTGTGCATGTACTCACTCTGCAATGAACTCTAACGGTGTCCAGGAGCTGGTATCTGCATCAGGCATTGATTTCCTGTTCACTGGTGTATCCAAGGTAACCCTGCGATTGAAAAAGATAAGCCTTTCATTTGTTTATCATGTTTCTGATAAGAGCCGTCCATCCTCTTCTCTTGCTCAGTTTTAAGGACAGTGAAAGCCAGAAATGTATACATTTTTCTTGAATCCTGTAGGTCTCTTAATGCCACATAACCATTGCTTATATAAAATTGTAATCTGTATTTATAATTAAGGATGACATAGAGGGCAAGTTTTTCAAAAGTATATAAGTCAGTTGTAAATCAAAATCCCATGCATAATTATTATTCTCTTGTACCCTCCGATACAAGAACAACACTTCTCAGGGCATCTATCTATAGACATCTGAAATCCCCTGAAGCCAAGAGACCAGTTTGAACTTGCTGTGTGTTGTTACTAGTATTCTGCTGGAGAAGTAGAATACTTATGTAAATGTTCTGTATATCATCATTCTCTGCTCCAAATAGGTTTGTAAGGGAGGTGATGGGGGGATGCAATTAGAGGAGTTCAGATAATTTTTAAGTCATGATGCAGTACTCTTAAACCTTGAAAAATTGGGTATGGGACCAGCACAAAAAACTCCTCAAAACCTTAACTAGACTAGCAGAGAATTTAGGCAGACTATTAGGCCATCCAGGTAACATCTCCACCAAGACAAGAAAACAACTTATAGTTAGCTGTTAATAAAGCTGCTGTAGTACAGCGAGGAATTAAACCTTTTGGTTTTCCCTAAAGACTTGTGAAACGACTTTAATTCCCCAACAAACTCTGCAGAGAAAGGATACGCAATATTTTGCCCTTCAACAGAAACTCCATTTCTGTAGGAAGGGTTTGTAGCTTTCACCAGTACACCAGCTGGCATTACAAAGGTAGAGTTTGATAGATAATACAGAAAATGGGTCATAAGTCACTGGGGCTTTGGTGACGTTTCTGTGGCAGTGGACTTCAGTGCTGCTGAGCAGCAGCCAGGCATTAGGGCTCTTCACCCATACCACACTGTGGCAAGATGGTGGGGACTGCAGCTGAGTCCTAGTGCCAGCCCACCTTGGACCCGAGCCAAGTCATTCTGCCACCAGAAAATACTGCTGATGCAGACTTAAGCTCTTCAGGACAGGGATTATCTTTTGTTGTATATTTATAAAGTGTCGAACAACACAGGGTAGACCTGGTCCATGATTAGGGCACCCTGATAATGCAAATACAACTGATGCCTGATAGTTACGGATCTCTGTAATTCATGCTGGAAGTGTGCAGCATAGTAGCTTCTTTAATCTTGGGAGTTTCCCTTGTGCGCCCCGCCCACAGTTGCTGATTGGCAGCATGGCCCCATCACTCACCACTCACACCCAATGGCCAAAGGGAAAACTGCAGCTGCACAGGCAGCGACTGGCAGTGGGTACACGGGTGAAACTCCAAAAGTGAAGCAGCCACCACACACTTCCAGCCCAAATTCCAGAGATCCCTACTGAGAGTAGCAACATGTCAGTGTCTCAGCGCTATGCCCCTAAGGGGCAGTTGCTGTTATCAGGCCTATCAGCTGAACACATGAAACTAAAAATGTTCCTGGGGTATGTTGCTCTTATCAGGTGTTGCTGTAAACTTATGTCAAACTTAATTTTTACTTAGGTGAAGTTGTTATTTGCATGTTAAGTGACAGTAGAAGTCAAATATGTAAAAGCACTTTCTGCTAATTGACACACGACAAACATTGCACTACTATACTTTTCTGTGAGCTGTAAAACACATCTTAAATTGTGTCATGTGTCTGTTTTTAGACTCTGATCTATAGTAAAGAATAACCATGTTGAAACATGGCTGTAACTAAACATTCTAGTAGAGTTAAAACCTGACTCTCTAGCATCCATAATAAACACTTTTTTTCTGTCTAAACACAAAATAAGAGTCCATGTTACTGTTTATGGCAATACCTGTGACTTGCAAGATACATATTCCAGAACACTAAGATGTCCCCCAGCCCTGAGGAGCCACAGCTGTGTTTAGATAGTTATCCCTGTAATCTGGATAGAGCCTGAAGAATATCCATGTGACAACCTAGTAGAACACCATTTAAATTAAACAATGCAATAGCAGAGGTAGCTATGCAACTACTTACGGTAGAACAGCAACTGCAGCAGAACCAGATGGCAAACCATTATTTGTGCCAGCTAAACTCTGACAGAGCTGGTGCACTGCTCCCTTTGCCATGCCGTATCCAATCATCCCTGACAATTACAAACAACAGTATTAAAAACTCCAAACCTTTTCACTAATAAGCACCGTTTAAAATACAATGAAGATCTGCATTATTTGAAGAGTAGGCTTAGAGTCATCTATTCCAGTTTATCAACATCAGCAGTCTTTTAGCACATAAACCCATTTATGTTCACATTACATATACACATTGAGAAAACACCTGCTAGATTATAAAGAATTTTGTTACTATAATAGGAATTAATATACCCAGCACCACAGAGGTAAAAATATTATTTTTTAAAGTTCTGGTATGCTTGGGTATCCGTCTCAAATTGCACCAGGAAATCAGAACACCCTTTTCAGGTAAGATGCTCCATAACATAGCACTATAACTTTTATATTTATAAATATACAGAAGTGGCATCTATTCTCTTTCATCCAACCTTGCAAATATTTATATACTTTAAGTAGTCCCACTGATTTTAAGACTGCTGAGCTACTTACTGAGTTACCACTCAGGCTTACATGTTTTTTAGCCATACTTGCTCAGCTGCTTTGAAGGAAGGTACAAGAAATCTCAAAAGGAAAAATGACTAAACCTGTCCATATGGAAAGCATTTTCCTAAACCCTCCCAGTTACAAGTTGGATTATGTTCTGAAAGACAGAGGAGTTTCTCTCAATGACATTTATTTTGTCTATGGTAACTGAATATGTTCTCATTCCCTACAATATCTTCATCTTTCCTTTCAATTCCAATGTGCTTGTGGTCTTAGTATCTTGTGACCATTAATTTCACAGATAATTATGCACTGTGTAAAGAAATATTTCCTTTGATATGGTACAAGTTTTGCCTCCATTTCACCAAATATCCTACTTTTTCCATGTACTAAGAAGTGACTGATTTACCTACTTTTTAATCATTATTTGTATCCCACTGATATATCCCCTCTAAATCAATATATGCTTGCACCCTCTCTCTCCCCTCTAAATCAAATCTTTCTTATCTTCCATTATATTGAAGTCTCTTCATGCTGCTAAATTCTTTTGTTATTTATTCCTGAACCCCTTCTATATCCACTATATTTTTTCCACTTCTTCAGTCAGCACTAGGCAGTTGTCATTTAGCCATTGCTCTCAAATAGGAAAATTATGCTCTATTGTAAAGAAAATATATCACAAGAGAAGGAAGGGAACATAATTAATTACTCAATGAGCCTATAAGATCCATGGTAGCTGTGAGCAACAATTTTCTCAATTTCTCCTGATATTTAATAAGTTGTGTTTGCCTAGGGCACTGCTTACATCTTTAAAAATATCCACAGTGATTGAAACCATCCAGCTCAAACAAAGCAAATTGAAAGCAAATTAATTAGATTTTCTGTCCTAACAAAACATCATGAGATTGCAAATATGGGAACCTTGGGAACATTAACAGCATATGGCCAGTCGGTTACAAAAAGAAAAACTCCTATCCTGTTCATTTTCTATAATAAAGGATTTTTATCTTCAGAGTGTATTAGATTCATCTTTAAACATTCAATCATATAAGATGCATTATAAATTAGAAAACACAATAGTTTTCCAAAATATAAAGACACAGGTATAATTACTTCCCTTCAGTTTTTAGTTTTACAAAGCATTTCATAATTTTAATGATAATCCTTCTGGCTTTAAAGGGATGTTAACCTTTGTCTTCACTCTCCCACTGCCAGAGTATGTATTTTTTGAAATTGCTGCCAGATTTTCTTCTCTTAAGCAAGAAAACAGGAATGTGATCAAAGACTGCAAGGTACATTTTCAAGGATCACACTAGACAGCTCAAGTAGATCAAGACAGAAGGTCAGCAACCTTGTCTGTTTCTGAAGCTAAGTTCATTAGAAGTAGAACGTGGGCAGGATGAGCATGCTCAATAATATCAGGCGAGTTATCACTAACCTAGGTAAATAAGAACTCTGCCTTTCAGAAAAGCAAATATGGAGTTTAACCTTTTCCAAAAAGTTTTGCGCTGTTGCAAGTAAAGCTTTTCATTTGCTTTTTCCTCAGACCTGAAGAATGCCTTATGTTGAAAAGCTTGTCTAACTTTATTCCAACCATGCAGTTGGTTCAATAAAAGATATCACCCGTAAAAACCCCTGTAGGCATTCTTATCATATGCTAAGTCAGGTTTCACCAAAGCCTGTCAACTAAGATTTAAGTACTTAGTTTGACGGTGTCATGCAAACAAAAGAACTATTTGGTATTATTTCCATCTGTAACGGTTACAAATTTCCTGAAGCAATTCAAACAGCTGTTTCCCATAATATGGTAAAAAAAAAAAAAAAAAAAAAAAGAAGAAATAAAACTATTGTTTCTCAACTGAGAATAATTAGAAGTGGCATATAACAATTGTAACAGACATCAAAGCAAGCAACATATTTTATTTTTTACCTGGGGTTCCAGCTAAAGCAGCTTTGGCTCCTGTCAGAGTCAACAAACCTCCTTCTTTCAAATGTTTTGTAGCTAAGTGACTGGATATAGTTGATGTCCAAACACTCTGCTTCCACATCAGGTCACAATTTTTGTATAAAGCTGGTAAACAAGACAATTACGAGGCAAAAATTTAGAAGACAAAACTCATTTTCTAGTTCAGTGATTCTCAAGCAGATTGCCTGGAGATCCTTTGAAGGGTGCTCCAGGGTGCTATACAATGTTAGCACTGTTAGGTATGCAAACATGATTCACAAAAAAACCTCCAGAGATTTCAAATAGAAATCTATAGTATTAAAAACATCCTGACCTGCTGTGATCTTTCCGAGTTCACTGCAACAGTGAAATTGCTGTAGTTTTCCATAGTCAAAAAAATAGCAAAACTAAAAACTGGCATTTCCTAAGGGGTGCCTTAAGTCTAAAATAGTTAAGAACCACTGGTCTACTTTAAGCTCACTTCCCATCACACAGAACGAAATAGTACTACATACATCTTTCCC